TACTTTTTTTCGTGTTAAATTGTCTGTGTTTGACAAAATGTGCTGATTTTTCACATGTGATAGCAGAACTGAGTTGGGCATGCACAGGATGAGTCACATCATTTGAAACTTTGCCCTGATTGGAGAAATTGGAAGTGTTACAACTGACCCACGTTACAACTATCCCCGGTCTCCCCTACTGCGGTTTTCTGCAAAAAAAACCAAACAAACGAGCCATTATTTGGACTGATGGCAGCAACAAACATGAAAACTATTAAAAAAACTGTGACAACTATAGTGAGCATGACAGATGACCTGACAATGAACAAGGAAGATAGAGGACTTAAATACACACACACAGGACGTGACCAGGGGAAGTGGGAACGCATGGGGAAATAGCTGACTGAAATAAACATAATGACGCCACGGGGAAAGTGAGACTCAACACAATGACAAGAACACACCAGACTCTTTCAAAATAAACCGGAAATATGGAGACATAGACATGACAAAGCAAGCTTGACAGACCTAAAACTCATAACAGACTAGACAAGAAACCAAAACACAGAAACCAAGGAAACAGATGAGAAATAATGAAAAACCTAAACTCAAATAAACCCTAAAACATGAACTTATAACCAGAAACCTAACATAAGAGACTCAAAAATACAAAATAAAACTCAAAACGCTGGTACAGAGACCTGTGACACTTGGTTAAAAAATGGCTGGATGGACGCCCATTAGGCCTTCAAACACAACTCCCTCTCTGAGAGCTTAATCTTTAACTTTCCCTGTTTATAACATATTCATCTAATAATACGAATGCTAATAAAAAAATGAACTTGAGATTAATTTAATAAATTATGCTGTAGTTCAGTGAAATGAGCTGTTAACAATGCAGTATAACATACAGGCTAGAGCTTACTTAGAACAAGCCCCAGACAGTTATTGCTTCCTTGGTCTTGCATGTTATATTTGAATTATCATATATTTGAATTATCATATTATAACTTTTAAATGTATTTCAAGTCTTCTGCTGTACCTTATTTCAATCCAACATGGAAAAGAAAAAAATAAAGTGAATAAAACAAAAATAAAAAAATCATCTCTGCAAAGCAAATTGTGGGACAGTGATCATATCTTGATATCCAGAATTGCGAATGAAATTATAATATGTTCAACCACACTGCTCCAGTGAAGATTTTTTGTTTTCGCAATATTTAAAATATCTAAATCCAACCAAAATCCTACAAAACAATAAATCCTACCATAAAATCAAGACATTCTCATTTGACAATAAAATAGATTTTAAAACATATCATAAAATTATATTACTTACTTAAAGTTAATATTTGGTAGTGCAGTAAGAGTGTGTAAGGCACTATCTAAATTGCTTGTGGCTCATGAATTGCACAGGATGTGCAAATAAACTGACTGGTCTACATCCTTGGTGACCACCATTGCCGACGTGTTGTATCACGTTTGCATGATACTGTATGAGGTCTGGTGGCCTCTTAAGCTGCGAATTTTTCAACTCTCACACACAGTCTGGACAGTAGGTTTGTGTTTGCTTTTAGAACACATTCGGCTACGTTTAACACCTTCTACCAAATTCTACCAAACATCTGGCTTTGGGGCCCAGCTTACCAAATAATTGTATGGGATAAAAGATCAGTAGCTTGGTGAGAGAAAAACTAAAGATGGGCAGCTTCAGAGATGCCCAAAGAATGATTATGATGATTTATGTTCACTATTAAATTTCTACTGTCCAAAAATCACAGATGTCCTGTGATGTATTTTGTTTCTTCTTAACAACAAATTTCAAGAAATGTGCATTTTTACAAACTGCTTTAAATTTACAAATTTGCCTACATGCAAAAGTCAAAGTGTTTTTGAGCATTGTGCGTCACAAGTACAAGTATAAGCAGTTGTATAGTCATCAATTACTGAAGCTGGTGCAGTCATTCCTCTGGTGAGCAGGGATGTAACCAGGCTATCTGTGATTAGATGTATCTACAGATAAACACATGTTTAATCAAATGTTATTTTGCACGCAAAGCTCTTCTTAGTGCAAACAGGGCTTTGAACCACTCCCAAGTGAGGACAGCTGCATGATGAGAAGTCTTTTGCTATTCCTGTCTAAGAGTATACATTGTGTTGATTCAGGGAGGACAGTACACGCATCAAATTATTCCAAGACAATTTTGATTAGAGGTGGGTCCCTGTTTACATAATACTATTTAACATTAGATACTTGTTTCAACACTGCTTAAACCAATAAAATAAAGTCCTTAAGCAACTTAAGCATGCTCTTAAGATATGAGTCAAATTTTGTAATATATTTGAGATTATAAAGATAAATTTATAGATTAAAACATTTTTTAATCTATAAATTATACATTTGTATTGCTTATATAGTTTGGTGTACTATGGAAAAAATAAAAAATATAGTATTAAAAATTTTTTTTTAAAGTTTCCATTGTAATGCATGTGGAGCATCATGATATTCTGAACCTTTCTTTGAGGAAACTTTCTCTGACTGGACTTAAATTTTAATAGAATTTCCCTGGTTTATGTATTCTAATATTATTTGGAGATTTTACATCAAATCAGCATTAAATTAATAAGCAGCCTTGGTTAATACAACAGAAACTTGTTTTATGTTTTCAGCAAGTAAATTGATATTCCAATAACCTAGATACTACTGTGTACAGTGAGTTCAAGCCCTCATGTTTGCAGAAACATTCGGATAAATGATCAGAATTTTAATATTTCTGACTGTCTGGGTCAAAATTGAATCGAATGAAATCAGTGACGATACCCAGCCCTTTATGTAACTTCATGGACAGAGAAGCTGTTTAGCGGAAGGTGCCTTACAGAAGGAGAAAGAGACATGCTACAAGCCTCTCTGGGCGTTTTGTTTGTTTGTTTGTTTGTTTGTTTGTTTGTTTGTTTGTTTGTTTTTTTTGCTGTAAGTGCAACAGTTTTCAGAATCAACTTATAATTTTTAAAATATGACACTATCTTGCAGATTCAATCCACTACCAGCTTCGCTTCTCTCACATGTGGACACGTAGTTCCGTCTGCGCACTGCAGATGGCGTTATTTATTTGCGGGTGGCAGGAAGCTTGGTCCTGGTTTCACGCATGCGCAGATACCCACTAGTACTAAATGGAGGCTGTT